GAGGCTGAGGTGGGAGGATCCCTTGGCCCAGGAGTTTGAGGCTGCAGTGAGCTATGGTTATACCACTGCACTTTTTTTTTTTGCCTGGGTGACAGCACAAACTCCGTCTCTAAAAATATCAAGCAAACAAACAACAACAACAAAACAACAAAAAAGAAGGGATTGAAAACTACCAATTCAATCAGATTTTAAAAAATGACTTTTAAGAGAATTCTTCTTGGCCTGCTGCAATGACTCACACCTGTAATCCTAGCACTTTGAGAGACAAAAGTAAAATGATCACTTGAGGCCAGGAGTTCAAGACCAGCCTGGGCAACACAGCGACACCTCATATCTACAAAACATAAAAATTTAAAAAGAGAGAAAACTTCCTAACTGCAGCCTCAATTAACCTTTATTCTCCAGGTATACTGAAAAAATTTACTGAATAAGCTTAGCTCAATTAAAGCTTAAACTTACTTTTCAAATAAATAATAAAGTACCTTACATAACGAGAAAAAAATAGTCCAAATAAAGCTCAAGATTTTAAGGCTTCATTTTAAAATCGAATCCTTGCCTACTTTTACTCCAACCAATTAAGTTTATGCCAAACCAGTATATAAAATTTTTACTAGTTATTATAATTGCCTAATTTAATATAAGATAAACAAGTTAATTAATTTAATTTGTGTAAGTTGTATAAGATAAATAATTTAATATAAGTTAAATTCAAGTGTGGAAAGATTTACTGGCTCTATTAAAACTAAAAATATAAGCAAGGTAATTGGCATGTTAATTAGCTTCATTTAATCTTTCCACACAGGTACCACTGTGGGTTGGTACGCCTTTCCCAGAACTCCGTTACATGAATTAGAGCATCACATTGTATCAGATAAATGCACACAAGCAGATGCTGCAAATAGCTAAACTGTTATATTGCTGTCCTGTATACACAGCTTTTCCTTCTTTTGTTTAGGATCATAACTGTCTCTACAGTCTGATATTAAAGGCAACAAACAGGATGTTTGTTGTATCAACTTGTACTCTTTCTCCATGGAGCTTTCGGGAATTCTTTTCTGGAACATTGACTATTGTGCCTTCTAGTAGTTTTAATAAGCCTTGCTGAACGCCTTCTCCACCTACATTTCGTAACTGATGAATGCCTGGCACACTGCCAATCATATCGACTTCATCCAGAAAGACAACTCTTTGTTGTGCTTTTTCGACACTGTAATTGGCATCTTGGAGTAGTTTGGCAATCACAGATTCAATATCCTCGCCTATGTATCCAGCTTGAGTCATAGTTGTACACTCACAGATAGCAAAACGGACATCAAGGCATTCAGCTAGGGTTTGTGCCAGCAGAGTTTTACCTGACCCAGTTGGTCCAAGTAGCAAAATATTACTTTTTTCAAGTTTTCTGTCATCATGAGAAGAATCCAATACTTCACCTCCTCATTTTTCCTGAGGTATCTGTTGATTTACCTGTTGCTGCATTGATGCTCCTAAAGCATTACCATGTGGGCTCATTCCAGCAATCTGAAGTAATTTTGTAAATCTGTACTCATCCTCCCGTCTTCTTACTTCTAACTCTCTTGGTGTTAATGATGTCTGCTTCTCAACCTCTGCTTGCTGTCTCAGATTAGCTGGGATATTATTATGTATTCCCATAATACATATGGAACCTATGCAATCGAACCACCACAATGTGATTGTACACAGCAACTGAAAGCACCTTCTTAGCAAATGACTGGCCAACAACATACTTGTCGAGGTAGTTATAAATCTTCTTAGGGGGAGGTGGTGGTTTCTGTTGGAATGCCAATTTTACAGCTTCTGCTGCTGATGCAGTTTCTTTAATTATGCTTTTCTTTGAGTCTGCTTCAGATAGCACAACAAAAAAATGATGACATTTTTCACACTTGACAAAACGGGTGGATGACACAAAGGTCTCTATATGTGTGCACAAGTCGCCACATTTAGCACAGCGCAGCTGGTTTCCGCCTTTCCCAGAATTCCCAGGGCCTGATTCCTTACTACTTCCCTCACTTGCTGATTTCTTATTTCCATTTCCAGAACCATCTTTACTTATCCCATCTTTTGAGGCAAAGTATGCTGGTGTTTCTGTAAAAGATCTAAGAGGAGCTCTTCGCAGAATCTGAGTTTCAAATGTCCCAAGCCTTCCTAAAACTGGTATATGAATGCGACCACCAGAAATACCTCTCTGCGCGGAGGCGAGTGAGGAGGTGACGAGCCGGGCGGCAGCTGCGCCGCAAGTACAAGCACCGCAGCTGGGCATTTCCGCGGGGCCTAGGCCAGGGCTTCGCCCCCTGAGGACCTCCGGGTCTCTGCGGTGCGAATCCTGCTCGCAAGGCTCGCTGACTCGGTTCCGAACCCTTCCGCGGGCCCCACACCCCGTGCAGAGTTCACCTGCCCGGCAGCCAGGCCTTCGCGCTTCTGTGCCCCACAGCCCTCTACTCACCAGAGTAGACACCCAACCCGGCCTCGTGATGTATTTTTTTAATTACTAAAATCTAGGATTTCCCAGTCAGACTATTATGTAAATGTCCTCAAACTCATAGCACTTTTTACAGAAAACCGCAGGTAGATATTGCCAGCAATGCATTATCAATATTGTCTGGTGGTGTTGCCACAAAGACAATGAGAGCTCTTTTCTGTAAGCTCACACTCACAGAGAAAATCCTTTCTTAAAAGATTGGGAAATGAACAATCCAAAAATAGAATTACCAGTCCCACTTACAACATCAACAAAAGGAAAAATGGACCCATCCTCAGTCACCAAGACCTGAGAACAGAGAGTGGCAGCTCCTTCACACAGGTGGCAGAGAAAGGAAGCTGTCAGCCAGGGAGCCTCCTGGAGTATACCTGAGATGGGCAGAACTGGGGACATCAGTTCTCTACAGCAACACTGCAATGAGGAGCTGGAGTGGCGTAGAAAAAATTCCAACACTTTTTGCTGGTGAGTGGCTCTACTCATTCATTCATCCCTGTTGCTGGTTCCCTTCTTGAAGCTTGAAAATAATCTGAACTTTGCATGTCAAGAGCTGCTGGCCTCCTCCCAGACATTAATTTTCTGTATTGGGTAGGTATTGGCTGCAAACACAAGATGAGATTACACAGAGAGTTGGGGAGTGAAACTGCTCCCACTCAGGCTGAGTCACCAGAGTCAGGCTGCATTACCAGACTCACCCCCTCAGAGGTTTCTGGGGTTGATTGACAGCTTGGGTCTGCATAGCTACCTCTCAGAGAACACACTGGCCGCAGCTCCCAAGTTGTAGCTGTTTCTGCCTCCCCGACCCAGAACTGCTACTTCCCTCAACGTTTCCAGTGATTTGTCGCATTTCATTTTGTCTTGTGTTCTCTACTGAAGCTGCCCGATTTTCGTTTTATGTGCCTTACCTGACATTTTGGGGGTTATTCACATTTTGAAAATGTATTTTCATTTTCCCTGTAAGAGAAAGCCTGTGTTTCTGGCTTGCAAATCAGGCTCGAGATGGCACCTTCCCCAGAGCTCAGGAATTCTGGGTGAGGATTGAATGTGGGGAATGTCACAAGATTTAGCCTGCTCCTGTAGGCAAAAGGACCTTTTGAAACACACAAGTGGAGATAGTTAGGTATTTCATACACATAACATAGTTGTGATACAAAAGCCAAAGACAGACAATCGCCAAATATTCTAGGACACTGGTCCTCACTATTAGTATGCATGAGAGCCACTAGGGCTATGGATGAAAATGCAAATTCCTGGGCCTCACTCCCAGAGATTTTGATTCTGTAAATCTGTGGGGAGTCCAGGGATCTGCATATTCAAAAAGCACTTGTATTAGTCAGTTTTCACAATGCTATGAAGAGCTGCCTGAGGCTGGGTAATTTATAAAGAAAAGAAGTTTAATTGGCTCACAGTTCTGCTTGGTTGGGAAGGTCTCTGGAAATTTACAATCATGGCAGAAGATGAAGGGGAACCAAGGCATATCTTACATGGTGGCAGGCGAGAGAGAGGGAGAAAGTGCCACACTTTTTAACCATCAGATCTCGTGAGAACTCACTCACTATCATGAGAAAAGCATGAGGGAAACTGCCCCCATGATCCAATCACCTCCCATCAGATCCCTCCCTAACACATGCGGTAATTCAAGGTAAGATTTGGGTGGGGAAACAGAGCCAAACCATATCAGCACCCATGACTTTAATAAATGGAGCTCACCAATAACTTCTGTGAAAATAAAGACTAACCAGATGAGAAAGCAAAGGCCATCTATTCTACAACAAATAAGTCAGCCACCATCACTTCCATTTTGGGAGAGACTCAAAGGCCAGCCGAGCAGTAGGAAAGCTTTACAGTGGAAAAGGTATCATCCTTTTTTTCACATGTTCCCTGATTCGAGGCTGTTGGCATGGGGAAGCTGAGGATAGCTAACTAGATGTACGGCATCCTATGCGATTGGTTTAGGGTACATATTTGGCTTTCCTAGGTTGCTCCTAAGTTAGAAACAGGAACAAAAATTTGGGAAGCTGTCAGTTATTAATCAAGTCCTGGCCATTTGGAGCTGACTGTTACTGGAGTTATTGTTTAGTTTCCTGGATTGTTACTAGAGATAGTCTGACTTCCTACAAGTGTGACTTACAGCAAGTGGCTTCCTGGGCTATTTATTGTAGAAAAGTGGGTTGATTTCCTAGGCAGGTAGCTGTAGGGCATAGGTCAGAGTTCTGTTTTTATATGTGGTCTGGCCATTGTCTGTATATTTTGTCTGTATATTTTGTCTCTCATCTCTGAGAAATACAGCCGTAAACCAAGCTTTTTTTGTAACACAGAGCAGAACTTCAATACAGGGGACTGCTTTCTTCATTATTGCTGTCATCTATTTGTTGCTGCTTTTTGACAGTGATGATCTCAAGGCAAAAACGGCTGAACATCCTATTTAATTAGGATAGTCCAGGGCTCTAACTTACATGCTTTACACAACCATTGCCTTCTTAGGCATGGCAGATAACAAGCATGGAATATTATTGCTAGTCTTGGCTTTGTGGTGTAAAGTTGGTTTTCATACAGCTCCCAGAAAGCTCTCTATAGACATCAGTGGAGCCAAAAGTCTTCAAGCTTTATCCCATCTTATTTCCCGCTTCTCTTGTGCCCATGGGTCATTATCTTTCCTGTGACAACTGAGATTAAAGATAAATCTTTAATCTCTTTATGCCTTCCACAATGCTTATCTTCTTTGTCGTAATCCTGGATTACATGGAATCCATTTGTTCAGTCAAAATGTAAGTTTCCAAATGTCCCCACAATTGATCCTTTCCCATTTTTGTTAGTGCTTTGGAAATTTTTGAATACATCCAACAACAGTCTGAACAAAACGGCATACCAGGAAAGTGCAGAACACATTCTGTCTGGAGGAGTGGCAGTGAGTGCTAGGTCTTCATTTTGTCTACCAATGTCTTTTCATCTCCCTCTAAGAGAGGACAGAATGCTTTTTGCCTCTGTAGAATCATTCTGTGATGTGTTGACCAGCAGTCTGGGTCTCATCTCAGATGTATTTCACACACTCTATGACTGCTGTGTTTTAGTCACGATATTTATTGCTGCCCTGATGAAAAGATGGAATGCAATGGGGATTTTTCTCCTATGGGTGCACCCAAATAGAAATTCTCTCTCAATTTATTAATAGACTTTTTCTTTTTTCCAAGAAAATTCCATTTGTATTTCAATTAGTATTAAAACAAACTTACGGCCGGGCGCAGTGGCTCAAGCCTGTAATCCCAGCACTTTGGGAGGCCGAGACGGGCAGATCACGAGATCAGGAGATCAAGAGATCAAGACCATCCTGGCTCACACGGTGAAACCCCGTCTCTACTAAAAAATAC